CATACTTTTATGTTTTTCAGTGCGGGTTCAACGCTGGGGATGGCATTAACTGGAAAAGGATTACTAACACAACATTTTTAGATCTTCCCTATACTACAAACGTGAACCAACCAGGAATATGGATGTTTAGACTTGATAACGCAGCTATAAACAATGGAGGCTGTAATACGAAAGGTAGTAGAAAACCAATAAAATATCAAGGCCAGAGGGGAAGGGGGAATGGCGAGAAGGAGAAAGGCAAGGGGAGGGGAGGGTATGGGAGGAAATGTTCCAATGTTCGAGGCTTCATTTCAGCATATTGGAGGACCACTTGTAACCAGAAATAGGCTGAAATGTTCGCTCAGCTTCGTATACATTTATTTTGCGTGTAAGTCGTCGGAYTTTTTTTGGTGTGATCTCGGTTTTTAGAGTTTTGAATATTCGAAAACACGCAAACCTTGTTAGAGTACATACATAAAACAATTTAATGATAAAGGAGTTAGATATTAATGCTAAAAATGTAGGGATTTCGCACGAACGAAATACTTGATATGTAAAAGAGATATCAAACAAAACCAAATGCATRTTTATTGTATAAGATTTTTTATTTTCTGCAAACGACAAATTATCGTAATATTGGTATATATTTTGTTATCTTAATCATTATCAAARGTATATTTTATTTTAAATCGCTCCAAATTTCATGTTTTATCATAACATATTTTTTCAGGACATTTGACCATCAAGCCYTATAAAGTCGACATGCTTGGCGGTCGCAATGTGGAACTACATGGCCCGTGCTATGAAAATTACAACCAAATTATGTGCAAGTTTCGGGATGGTACGCCGTCAAAAGGAGCGCTCATTAGCTACCTTGACGATACACTCGCTAGATGCACAGTACCAATGGTATTTTTTATTGGCCCAGCAAAACTCTACCTGTCMCTTGATAATGGTATAACATATCCATATGATGGGACATTTTTTTATGGTAAGATAACATTTCTGATCTATGAATTATATTGAAAGCATTCTCAAAAACCACGACGATTATAGAGGAGAAGATAGATCTAGAGAAAACATCAACTCTTTATATTTTCTCTCTCTCTTTATGTTGCGATTTAAGCAATTACCTGATAAATTCTAGAATGAGCTGGATCTACATATTAGGGTCAACATTCTACCAATGAGAGGGAACAGAATAAATCAAAAATACTGATCGGCCAAGCACAGMTAGTCCAATATGTGAAAACGAGTCTACTAAACGGGCGGCATATTGCATAGGTATCTTAGAATTTTGGAGGTTTTAGTGACGTGATCTCCAGCCAAAACCCGGCGGTTCATCTCCCAAACGAACGGAAAAAGAGATTTCAACGGATTTGCTTGTTTTTTCTTTTACCCTGACCTCGGTTTGATGTTCGCGTTGCGCAGATTTGTGGGCAGTATCTGTGGAGGTCCATCGACTGGATTTGCGATGTTGTTTCGTCGCAAATTATGCAAATGAGGTCAGTTTTGTTTTCTACTTTAGTGCATTAAGATGACAAAAAGAAAAAGGTTTAACACACAGTTTAGTTTAGAAACGGCATTTACACCATTTTACATAAGAAGCCGCAAACGAGATTTAGAGTGAACAGCTTGATACTGCAGAGGCGTTGCAAACGTGTTATAATCGGTACACCAAACTGTCAACACTGACACAATGGACGGAACGAAAAGCTCGAAGTTTCCAATATCGAAGACGTCTTACCATATAAAAATTTGCGATTTCAACTGTAGGTAGAGGCTAATTTGTACGTGCTGTAGTCTAGGGAACCTTAATTTTTCCTTAATTTGATAGCTTGGATATGCTTGTCGAATACTACTAGTTGTTTGAACATACTAAATAATAGTACTGCTAATACGCAATATGTATGATTTCTAAAGCGACCAAATATACGATAAACATTTTACAGTTACGAAATCGTTCTCGTGTATTGTCATAATGTGTAATCACCGAGTTATGTAAGCCATGTAGCTCTCAATGTGTTTGTATTCGCAAATATTTTGTTTGTTTTTTCTTCGTCCATATACTTAGTTAAAAATCATTGTGTTGAAATATATAAATTAGCAATGCCTAATATTTCTCAATAGCTTGTAGGTAAATCAGTTTTACAAACTTCGTCGTGCCCTAGTTGTAAATCAGTTTTCTTTTCCAGCAAACCCTAATTGATGACATATATTTTCAAGAATTCCCGCTGAGAAAGCAASGGATTTACTTGTCTTTGGTGTCGTTAATCCCCCACAAAAATGCAAAAAACGCGACTTTCAAAGACAACAGTGACTCTAACTTTTAATTGCGGCTTGTTATGAAACAAAAATGTGGGAAAACATTTGTAGTTATGCGATAATAGTATGATTTCTTGACCTATCAGGCGAGCGCGCGCTAGCGACCTGAAAACCGACTTGAAAATAATGTGCGCTCGCGTCATTTTCAGCCAATCACGAATCGAGAAATAACACATTCTCACAGAGTCTCTCACGCATTGGCTTCCTTTGGATGGCAAAAGTGCGGGCTCTGG